CTTCTACATCCATTCAACATACAAAATGGTTTACGCCATATACACACAAACATGTGTATACCCAGTTCTGTGTTGGCTAATGTGTGTGTATCTCCCCCCTTGAGCATAGAACAACGGGATGAAGTGTGAAGGGTTATATGGGACTAAAGAAGAGAGCAACTGTTTCGTAAGAGCCATACCAACATATAGGCGCATTTTTGAACAATACCGTTTTGGCATATTTATTACAAACATGCAGAACCTTTACACATGTCCATTGGGCTGAGAAAAAAATATTTGTCGTTCACCATAATGTTGTAGCGTCCGCGGTAAAATGTACATATGGCTCTTGTCAAAAATGAATGTGTTTTTCTACATGATGAGCACAAAGCATAACAAACGTATGAAGCAATTGTTAGGTAAATGGGTTAATCATTTGTACACCCTTGCGTACAATGCTTAACAATTTGCGTTAAAAAAAAAAAAATAAAATAACATAGCCAAGGCACACTGCTATGCATCCAACGTAAAAAAAAAATATGTGAAAGGGGATATAATGATCTTTTGTGCTGGTTTTTTATATACAAAATATGCTATGAAAATTCATTGGGCGCGCTTGGCAAATATAATTACATTCAAAATGTAAAAAAAAAAAAAAAAATCATTTGCCCTTTTGTGCAACTGTGAACATGCCATTTGGGGATAAATGCCTTTTTCTTAACAATAACGAGTCTATTAAAAATCAAGGCAGAGAATTCGTTGCAGTTTCTGCTCCTTTTTTTTTTTTTTTTTTTTTTTTTACAAAATTGGCATCACATTTTGCAGGTGTCAAAAAATAGATGCCGCGCCATTGCCATTTCATTTAAGCATATGGCCTGCTTATTGTATGTCGTGCGTTTGTATGTGCCTTACATAAGCAAAAAAAAATCGACTACATTTTTGTATAAGCTTACAAAAATACGTGTTTGATCAAAGAGTATGGTGATATATTTGGAGGCACCTTTCTTTTTTCTTCTTCAAATTTGCATAATTATATATGTATATACTCCTTTTGTTGCAAACTCGTGTGGTCTCAGGAGTCACAAATATTTTTTGCAAAAATGTCATTTTATATGTGTATCTCAAGCGCGATTGGTTAATTGTATGCAAATGATTTAAATTCTTTTTTTTTTCTCCATCTTTGCATATAATTACCTTCATAAAATTGTATAACACAATTTCATGTACATGTTTACATTATCGCAGTTGCTTATGATTCACCCAAAACATGGTTATACGTTTTTGTGAATAAAAAAAAAAAAGATAAATTTGAGTCCTTTTTAACAAAAGTGTAAATGACAAATTGGCCATAGGGGAACACGTATAGAGAACAGCTAGCAGTGCGAAGGCGCTTATTTGTCGCAAGACCCAAGGGTATATGTATACGTAGAACGGAAGTGAACACAACAGAGAAACAACCGCAGCGACTGTGCACAGCATAGTGCAGCATAAACTAGGGCACCAGTCCGTCCCCCCCTGCAAAAATTGCATTTGTATAATATTGTAGACCAGGAATTCGTGCAATTTAATGAAAACCTAAAAAAAGAAAAGGACAACGTTGGTGATAGCGCTCGCATAAACGTTTGGATAGCCATCATCAACGCGTGAGGAACACGTGCACACAATGCTGCAGCTGCGGAACATCGTGGTGGTGCACCTGAAGAGGAGCCACATGCTCTCTTTGGGAAACCTGGCCAACGTGAAATGCATCCTGAACAACAAAAGGTACTTTACCCTCTTGAAAAACGAAAGGTTAGATAGACTAAAGAGGGAAATCCGATACAAGCCAAATGATAATTTCCTCATATTACAGTTTTATAAGGAAGCAAATGTACACAATCCAAATGAAGTTATAAAACATTATGAGAGCAACAATAACATCAAAAATGAAAGTATAACTAAGGAGTACATAAAAGCACTAGTGTATACAAATAAGTTAAAGTACACTAACTTGGATAATATAAAGTATGATAGCGATCCTATGCTATATAAGCGATGGATGGACGACCCGAGTCATTCAAATGATATCAATAACGATCGTTCCGGTGTGTATGATACGGGGAATTTAAACGCGGATTCGGGATACGCTAATATGGCTCAATCAGCGCACCGAATAGAATATGGAGATAAAAAAAAAGGGGTGCACACTGAAATTCATAGTTTACAAATAGACCCCAAGACACCCTTAAAAGTGTCTGTAGTGGATGGAAGTAAAAAAGGCATGTGGGGATTACTTAAGTCGACTATTGGGTTTTTAATTCTCGTAGCGGCGGCAAGTGTATACCTAGAGGGAGTATCGCAGAATGTCCAAAAAGGTATAGGAGTAGTGAATAAGAAAATAATTCCGGTGGAAAATGTGAAAGTCACTTTTGCAGATGTAAAAGGGTGTGACGAAGTGAAACAAGAACTGGAAGAAATAATTGATTATTTGAAAAACTCAGATAAATTTACAAAAATAGGTGCTAAGTTACCGAAGGGGATACTCCTGTCCGGCGAACCGGGCACAGGAAAAACGTTAATTGCTAGAGCGATAGCAGGGGAAGCGAATGTCCCATTCATTCAAGCATCAGGCTCGGAATTTGAAGAAATGTTCGTAGGAGTTGGTGCTAGAAGGATAAGAGAGCTCTTCCAAGCAGCCAAAAAACATGCTCCATGTATCGTTTTTATTGACGAAATTGATGCAGTTGGATCTAAGAGAAGCAACCGAGATAACAGTGCTGTCCGAATGACGCTAAACCAATTACTGGTCGAATTGGATGGGTTTGAACAGAACGAAGGAATAGTAGTAATATGTGCAACAAATTTTCCACAAAGCTTAGACAAAGCGTTGGTAAGACCAGGAAGATTGGACAAAACGATTGTAGTACCATTACCAGATATAAAAGGTAGGTATGAAATTTTAAAAATGTATAGCAGCAAAATTGTTCTGTCGAAAGATGTCGATTTGCATGTCTTATCGAGAAGAACCGTTGGAATGACAGGAGCAGACTTGAATAATATACTAAACATAGCTGCTATTAAATGCTCCGTTGAAGGAAAGAAAGCGGTAGATATGAATTCAATTGAACAAGCATTTGATAGAGTTGTTGTGGGATTGCAGAGAAAATCTCCCCTAAATGAAGAAGAGAAAAATATTACAGCTTATCATGAAGGTGGTCATACATTAGTTAATTTTTACACAAAAGGTTCCGACCCAGTCCATAAGGCAACCATTATGCCTAGGGGAATGTCCCTGGGTGTTACTTGGAAAATCCCAATCAGTGATAAGTACAGCCAAAAAATTAAAGACGTACAAAGCGAAATAGATGTCCTCATGGGAGGGTTAGTTTCTGAAGAAATAATTTTTGGCAAAAATAATGTGACCACTGGATGTTCTAGTGATTTGCAGAGGGCTACTCACATAGCACAATCTCTTGTTATGAATTATGGCGTGGGAATTAATGAAGACAATATATCCATGTTCTTGCAGGATAAAAAAAATATTAGCGAAGATATGAAAATCAAAATTGATAAATCTATTCAGAGAATACTGTTAGATTCTTATAACAGAGCCAAAAAGGTCCTGAATCAACACATTGATGAACTGCACAGGGTTGCTTCTGCCCTCGTAGAATATGAAACTCTGACTAGCGATGAAATCAAACTAGCTATGCAAGGGAAGCATGATCAGATAAGAAAAAATAGAGAACTGAAACAGAAGGAGTTTAATTTGAAGGACAGCAGGATTTCGTAACTGTTCCATTGGTAGAGAGTTGCCCATCTGTGGGTTAGGGGTTATCTACCAATCGCTACGAAGTATTCCTTTTTTTCATTTTTTTTTTTTTTTTTTCTGTTCCACTTCGCTTCTACGCACATTGGATTTGCTGCTATTCTTGAATAATTAGCTTACATCGTAATTACTTACTATGCCATCTAGCTACTTATTTATTTATATTATATTATTTTTTTTTTTTTTTTGCTCCTGTAGCAGCCCCCATATGTTATGTACTGCTTTGACTACCCTGTTTTATTATTAAATGCGTACCTTCCCATGTGCAGGTAGAGACACACGTTATACGTATACTGTGCATGTGATACCACTTAAGTCTGATTTTATTTAATTTCCCTGTTTGCTCCATCACTCTCGGTGGCATGTATCATATCATCCTCCCGCTCTGTGTGCTACATTATTAATGTGAACTTGTCCCCCTTTTAATTATCCCCCCTTTCTGCACAAGCATCCTATAAATTTACGTGTCTATGATTCAGGGGTTGTTTAAATAATGGTTTAAATCAACAGGTGTAGTTTAGCATAATTGCATGTTCATTAGGAAAAGCAAAGGGTGTGGTAAGAACAACGAAAGATTATCGAAAATGTGGAAATTGTTACAAAAAAAAAAAAAAAAAAAAAAAAAGAGCACTGCACACGGAACCAGTCATTAAGGCTAAACCTTTTACAAGTGCTTCCATTTCTTGCCCATCTATTGTCAAACCTAATGAGGGCACAAATGTCACCCTCGCGAATTGGACTTACTTTTTCGCCGTGTGGACAAAAAGTTACTTTGCGTGCACTTAATCGATTTGTTTAAAAATGCCTGTGCACCGTATTTAGTGTCGCACTTTTGCTGTCTTCCCGTTTTTGCATAGTTGACAACAGGTACAACAGAAAAGCAGAAAAATTTCACATAATGATAAAATTAGAATCATATACATTCAAATAAATCGCATTGATAAAAGGTGTGCCTACCGGGGGGCTCAGCAATGCAGTTAACCTCTTTCAATACCAGAGACATGACTTTCGAGCAAGGTTAAACGTGTTTTTATCATATCTTTAAAAATCGCTCCCTCTTCGGCAACTTCGCCTTTTTACAAATTAATGATTTTTTCACTAAAAGGGGAAAAAAGCGCAGCCATGTTATGTAATCCAAAATTTGCACATGGTATGAGAACAACTTTCTACAACATGCAAATGTGGCTATATGCAATGGACGCAGTTTCGTAATTCACTTTTTATTTTCTAACGCGTAGGAAGTGAAAACTTCTAGGTCGACGTCGCTGCCGATTTTTGCACTTTCCATAAACTCCCTCTGTTTATTGTTCAGCACGAATTGACTCAGGCCTTAAGTAGTGAAGGCAAAGCGTGGTGAAAAGGAAACGTGGTGCTTTGTAACGAGGAAAAAAAAAACAGAGCAGCGTGAAATAAGGACGAAAGGGAAAAACAAAATTGTTGGTAACCTAGAATGCACTTTTCTCTAGATATACATTTCTCATTTTGTAAATTTAAAAAGTTGTACACTGCCTTTATGTCTTCCGCATCGAACACTTTTTTCTCGTTATGCTGAGGATGGGTTAAGGGAGGCAGATAAATAAACACACTGAAGTATGAATATGTGTGCGTATGCACCTGTACATATGCAGAACAGTAACACCCCCTATATTGTGTGATCTTTTGGGATGGGCGAAACAACGCGCCCAATTTCCGCATTGTGTATCCTTTTTGGTATTTTCCCTTATTCTGCATATTCGTTGCTACTTTGTTTACTTTCCTCTCTAATTTTTTCAGCTGTCCAATCAATGACTCCACTACGTTTTGCGGCTTTTCGAAATAAACGTAACCTAAGAGTCCCTTCAAAAATATGGAAGGTGTTAATTAGCAACGGTGTGTAGAAAGAGCTCTGGTACTTTTTTCATTTTTTACTCTTGTCACTATTATGCTACCTCAAGTATTTCGGCTATATTTTTGCTCTGGATGTATTCAAGGTCGTCTATAAAATATTTATGGCACGGAAAGGGCATGCAATTTGAAATTTTTTATTTTAACATAAAAGCAGGATGGAAGGGGTGACATAACAAGCTGTGCAGCAGTGTTTCGTGTTTTTTTGTTTTTTAAAGTATAATACCATTCATTTTTTCCATGCACACTTGTTGAGAGGTATTTGAATTAAAAAACAAAAAAAGGAGGGTCCCAACTTGGCACTTAAAACGTTTCAGTAATATATTTTGCGCAATACATTTTCTCCTAATTGTTGTGCATATTTAACCCTAGCACAAGCGAAATGTCTCATTTGTGTTGAAGCGAGATAATGTGGAATAAAATTCCAATATTATTCTCAAAAAGGGGAACGCATCAACATCAAAACGTAGAAACGGATGTCCACTTAGCTAACTGGAGAATATCACACAGAAAATTTCATTAACCTTTATGTCTCCAATGCTATTCATTTTTTTCATCATTTTGTAATGATATTCGACATTGTCTACAGACGAGTTTGAGAAGACGTCGCGGGAGAGAAGAGCTGGCCTTATTTTTATTTTAAAAAAAAAGGGAAGCATAAAAATGCATGCCTATATGACTGTACAAAATTTTATATTTCCTCCTTCTCGCTCGAGAACTAACCCCTTCGATACCTTTGCCACACTTATGCAATACAGATGAGCATCCATTCGTTTAAAAGGCAACGCACATTTTGAATTTCTATTTGTTTTTTAAAATGGGCCAAGGTAAAATAAGTGCGCGCCGAGAATTTAAAAAGAAGTAACCCAAAAAAGTTTAAAAAAAATGTCTACAAAATAACAGACTCACTTTTCGTTATTTCCCCGGCTTCTGTCCGACGGTGGCGCTTGTGAACAGTTACGTCCATGCGCCCTTTCAGATTTGTCTGCCCATTCAAATAGCATCCCCGTGTTAAGGCATCTGCACACATTGGACGCGTGGGGAGTAATTACTATGGTTTTCATGACTTGCATCACCCGCTACGTGTGCAATGTTTGTCCTCCTTTGCCTTTTTTCTCGCCGATTTATGTATAACACCTCAAAAGCGGGCTCTTCCCGCAGGAAACAAATGGCGCGTTGTAGAGAAACCGCCGCAACAAGGAAGATGTGGTTAAATGTAGAAAACGATAAGGGGAATCGCAAAATGCACACACAGCATTTCCCACTCATAAGAAGTCTCCACATTTTATTTTCTCTTTGCACAGAAAAAAAAATATGGTGAAATATAAATTGCCGAAATTTTTTTTCCGAAATGAAAACACGCAAGGGTCAGGCATGCAGTGGCCTTTTAAGGAAAAAATTGGCAAAATTGGGAATATGAAAATTTGCGTAACACAAGTGCCATGTAGTGGTTGTTTTGATTCATATCCCAACACGTAATTACGAATGGTTAGTGATGGCATGTGTCATATATACATATATACATGTGCGTGTATAATATATCCGCGTAATGCCTTATATGTATGAAAAAAAAAAAAAAAAAAACGGGCAAAAAAGTCTAGGAGTCAAAAATTGCTTCCCTTTAAAAAATGCCCAGCATAAAAAAAAAAAAAAAAAAAAAAAAAAAAAAAAAAATGCATTTTCATAACAATTTCTACGAGTATGTAATTATAAATGCGTATACAAAACGTTTTGGAAAATTTTGTTTGTTCTTTCTTCCATGTGAATAAAAGCAGCGCTGAGAACTGACATGCAAAAAAATATCATAAAGTTGTTTTGCTTACATTTCGTTCATAACATTATTATGGATCATCAGCATATACTCTTTTAACGCTTTTATATGACATTTCACGTAATTGGGGACAAATTTACTCATCTCATGCGCTAGCGCAAAAAATATTATGTAAAAAAAAAAAAAAAACAAACGTTACTAGCAAAAATATGTACCATTATTATTACATACCATAATGCGCAAAAATTTTTAATATCCCATAGATTTAATTTTCGTACGTATTTGAACATTCCCAGTCCAACAAAACATTCAAAAATATGTGATTAATTTGCATAATCTTGAAGTGAAAGTAGAAAAAATATTTGATTTTTAGGATTTTTCAAATTTTAAAAACTGCGCAGGGCGAAGAAATTGACTACATTTTTTTTCTTTTTACACACGAAAAAAAAACAAAAAAAAAACTTTTAATTTAAGAATTGTAAGAACAGCTAGTAAGTGTTGGTTAGCTCTATGTGTTAAAGGCCTTTTTTCATACATATTTAAGAATTGTATCGACACAAAGGAACATTATCAGCGTTTGGAGCGTAGTACTTTTAGAGCACAGCACTCTACGCGTAGCATTGCGGCGGCTTAATCATTCCCAAGCAGGGAAATCTGCTCATGCCAAGAAACACTACAGAACAGGCCTGCACAAGGACGAACAAAGTATACTACAGTAAAAGAAAAAGACCACAGCAGCAATTAAGATATTTGTTAACGAGCACACGTTATAGTGTATAAACACATATGTACGCACTAAATACGTGTACCCTCCCCTTTTTTTAACCCTCTTTAGGGATGGAATTGTGTCTTTATAACTCCAAAAATGGCTACTTGGAAGCCTTGTTGAGAGGATTCCGCAGCAGTTTTTTAACCCCAGAGGAATATAAAAAACTGACGGAGGTGGACACGCTCGAAGATTTGAAATCCGTTTTAGAAGACACGGACTATGGATCATTCATGATGGACGAACCATCACCCATTGCAGTCACAACCATTGCGCACAAATGTAAGGAAAAAATGGCGCACGAATTTAATTATATAAGAGCACAGGCGGAGGAACCCCTGAGAACATTTCTAGATTACATCGCAAAGGAGAAAATGATTGACAATGTAATAAGTTTGATACATGGCACGTTGAATAAAAAACCAGCGGAGGAATTGCTATCAAGGGTAGACCCCTTAGGATATTTTCCACAAATGAAAGCTATCACCACCATGGATGTACAAAACTCTCATGATGATGTTTTAAAAGTGCTCCTCATAGAAACACCGATAGGAACTTATTTTGACCAATACATCTCTGCAAACGCATCGAATGAAAAGAACAACGTAACAACTATTCTCAACGAAATGGATATTGAAATTTTAAGAAATACTTTGAAGAAAGCATGGCTGGAAGATTTTTATGATTTCATAAGACAGTTAGGTGGAAAGACGGAGGAAGTCATGGGCCATATATTAAAAAGCGTTGCAGACTTTCGAGTGTTATCAGTTACATTAAATACAATTAATTCTAGTTTAAGTTTGGAGCTGCAAAAAGATAGAAATGATATGTTCCCATGTTTTGGCTACCTATACCCAGAAGGAACAGACAGAATTAGAAAATGCTGGAATAATGAAACGGTTCAGGCTGCCTTGGAAAACTACCCAACTTACTACAATTTGTACGAAGAGTGCAAACAGTTTTATATGAAAAATGATAATATGCGTGAAAATAAAATTGTTGATCATAAGATAAAGTCTTTGGAAGATTTGCTCTATGTTAAGCTTGTGAAATTGTGTGAAACGGCATTTGATCAACATTGCCATTTTGGAATTTTCTATGCCTGGGTAAAGTTAAAAGAACAAGAAATTAGAAACATTGTCTGGATCTCAGATATGATTTTGATGAATAGGAAGGACTGCATCGATAGTATCATCCCTATATTTGAGCCTCCAATTTAGCATCCTTAAAATGCAGGCATGGGCAGAGGCCAAAGGGGTGAAGCGGGTCATGGGCGTGTATTATGTATGGGGGGTGCTAATGGGTCATTGCAGTAATGCGACAGTTGAATGTGCCTCTTCCTACCCATCGGCGTGGTCGTCGACGTATTGCCGTGCTGTGCGCATCCACATTACATGAGCACTTGCTAGTCCCCACCAAAATTTTTGTTCCAAATTTTGTTCATTAAATTTTTTTTTTTAAGTACTAATTTAAAATATCATCATCCTAAATGCCTTGTGTAACCCCCGAACGTCCAGCTCTGTTTCACTCATGAAAATATATGCCCCCTTGTGTTGTGCCCTGATTTATTCTGATGTGTGTGTAGAATCCACGTTACTTTACGTTATTTTATGCTATATTTCGTGCATTATTATTATAATAATTATCATTATTTATTTATTATTTTTATTTTTTTTGTTATTTTTCCATGTATATTTTTCTTTATATGTTAATGTACGCACGCCGCGTTACCACGCCCACATATGTTAGGTAACGCATATCATATGGGTAAAAATTAAATCGGTATATTTTTTTTTTTTCCACGAATCAACTCCCGTTTTTTACGTTTCCTCCCCCTTGTAATTTGTGTGAAAATAATTAATTCTGATAAAAGTTACCCACCGTAGTGCTGTGACTTTGAATGTTTGCGAAGAGGCGCTGAGGTGCCGCAGCACGGACGTCGTCCTGTAGACCACGGCATGTGTCCTTGGGTGGGTGTACGTCTTAACTTACATAAGAAGACCCATTTCACAAAGCGAACATATAGTTTACCCTCGCTAGCTGAAGACAAGCGTGCCTTAAATGCAGCGACCAATTGGGGTAACATACCTTAAGGGCGTAAAACGAAGCGTTAGACGATAACTAATTTGTTACATGTGTGCCATGTGCGTAAAGGCAGCTCTCCTTGCTGGGAGATATTCTTAAGGAGAAATTAAAATTATTGGTAAATTTATTTCAAAAGGTTCTTAAGAAGGTTCAAAAAAAAAAAAGTAAAAACATTTTGATATAGACACGCATATATCAAAAATTTGACGTCACAAAAAAAAAAGGGAGAAATAGATAGGGACTACAAAGCGGTAAAAAAAAAAAAAGAAAAGAAAAGGATGAGAAAAAAAGGGGTGCGTAATTCGAAATATGATGAACCGTCTTCACAATAAATTCATGTGCAGAGTGGGAAGTAAAACCCAGTTGTCACAGCGGAAATAATTATGAAGCAGATTAAGGACATCAAACGGCTTGCACCTAAGGTGCGGGGAAGGGCAACATCACATATTTCAATTTAGCACAAAAATAAACATAAACCATTTATCAGAAACAAAATTAAAAAAATTGTATTTGCTTATTTTTCACATGTCAAATAGCGATGACCATTTTTGACAAACGGAGATGTATTTTTAAAAAAAATACTATAAAAATTAATTTTAATACAAAAATTAAACTATAAACGTTAAAACATAAAAAAAAAATGGTTGCGGTGTAGACGCAGAGTCACGCCCTAACAATGGTGTGATCATGCCAAGTTGGACTGGGTTTGCCAGGAGAATCACTTTGCAATTCGGTCAAGTCCGTCTTTTAACTTTATTATTTCATCGTAGAGCTTATTCATTAAATTGAAAAAGGGCAGCCTCACTCCTACTCCTCCAAGGTTACTGATGATCCTCTTAATGTCAGGAGCTAACTCGATACATAACTGGAAGAACGTTTTGTGGTTCTCTATTTTGTAGAGGAAATTGGATGAAGCAATGGTTTTTATATCTTCTTTTTTGGAACTCATATTCAGGGCATATTTATCCTTGTCCTGGTTTTTCAAAGCGCCCAGAACCAGCAAAATGTAGTTCTGTTCGGATAGGGCCTTTTCCATAAAAACGAATTTCTGGTGCGTTTTGTGCACGTCCTTCACGAGCGCGACTTCGCCGACGTCCTCGCCGACGTCCTCGTCGACGTCCTCAGCACTATCCTCGCTGCTCATCTGGCCACTCTCCTCTTCACTTTCCCCCTGCTGCTCATTTGCCTCCTCGGCATGGCCACTTTCCTCCGCGTCTTCCTTTTCCTGCATAGCTTCCAAATCGCTGTCACTTAAGTTTTTCTTCTCCACGTATATCCTAATTCTATTAACATAATCCTCTAGCGTAACGTCCTTTCCAACTTTTTCCTTCAAGAGATCCTTCTCTTCTGTCGTCATGCTGTCGTACTTTTCTAAAAACTGTTCAGGCTCATAACCCAGGGTTTCTATAATTTCCAGTGCTTTTTTGTTCTCCTTTTGTTTCTTCTCATTGTCTTTGAGCCTTCTTTCAGCTTCTTCTGCATCGAATTCTTCATCTTCATTGTCCGTCTCGTTATTTTCAGACTGCACCGCTTTTTCCAACGCTACGGCAATGTGGTTGACAAGATTTTTGTTAAAAAAAATGGAGTACTTTTGCGCAAGCGCTTGCATGCTTCTTAATTTTTGTGAGCTCATCCCGGAAAGGTGTTTGGACACGTCAAAAATTAGGTTATTCAGAAAGAGTAATACCTTAAAATTTTCAATTTCCTCCTTTGTTTTTAACGTCTTCATGATAATATTAAGTTTTCTGACATTTTCGTTAAATTCTTCAATTTTATATTTTATCAAATCTGGATTGTTCATTCTAAATTGTTCTATTTTTTTTTCCAATTCGTCGACCTTATCATCTGCGTATCCATCCAAGTTGTAGAATTTTTTTCTCTCATGTTTTTTGTTTTTCAGGACAATTTTATGGCTAAGTGGCTTTCCCGTTCTACCATTGATAAATTCCGTAATGAATTCATCCTTGGTTAATTTGTGTGTGCTGAACCCTATATCTGCCTTGTTTGACCATTTGGAATACCTACTAAAGCCACAACCTTTTGGTTTCAGCCCAGCATGGATGGTTTTCAAAATATAGCAAGTGACTGGGTATAATTTTCCTACGACTTTACCAAAATAACCTCTGCCCAAATTGGAGTTATCAAACATAACCCTAGAGGAGGAGCCATTAATGAACAGGTCTATGCTTCCGAATTTAATGTACTCCATTAAATGGTCATGTGCACTGAAATAACCATCTACATTGTAATTAAAAAGGAAATCTCTCAAAATATCATGGAAGGAATGTTCCTCATAGGAGTAGTTATCAGATCGTCTTCCACTTGAAATTAGAGGATGATGTCCTATGACGAAAATCCAGTCACTATTCTGTGCACTCTCGTATAACGTTTTACTGAGCCAATTGAATTGTTCACGAAAGGAGCGGTAATTTCTTATGATCGGAAATCCCACCATTAGCGACCACGTGTCGATGAAAATAAAGGATGCCCTAAACTTTTCCTGGTTAATTATATCTTTATACCCTACATTGTTATAAGTAAAATCATAGTTAACGCAGTAGTAATTGTTTGGCATAAAATAACCTGGGATTCTATGCGAGTAGTGTTCCTGAATTTGTTCGCTCGGAAAGAAGAAGTAATCTTTTTCTCCTAAAATAGAGTAAAAAGGAATAGCTTCAACATTTTCATCCGACTCTTCTTCTTCATCAAATTGGTACAACTTCTTACGGTCATTGTCATAAAGGCTGAAGTCTTCCTGTTTGGAAGAATTTTTAACTTCATTTTCCTGATTTCCACCACTCTTTGTCTTTTTTTTTCCTTTTTTTTTCTTTTTTTCCTTCATTCCCTGCTCATCTACCTGTGTGCTATTATAATTGTCCTGCATTTCTTTCATTTTTTCACTATAAAAATCTTTTATGCTTTGTTGGGTGAGTTTGTTATTTCCCATCATGGTGTTAATTTCTTGTTCACTCCTTTTCTTGAAAACGAACAGTTCCTTCATTAAATTGTGCCACTGGAAATTCTCCATATAATTCATTGTTCCATCCTTTGGAACATTGTCTCCTAAATTGATTATAAAATCAGCATTGTTCTCAAAATGCCAATCTTTCATCGTTTGTACGGTACTTTTTAACTCATTAAATCCGATAAGGTTTAGCATATTCTGTTTATCGATATCTTTTTCTTCTTCAAAGCCCTGTCCAATATCTCCCAACATCATAAAATTCATGCTATTGCTACTGGTCCTTTCAATCTTCATTGTTACATTTCTGTTTCTCATCCACACAGATTTCAACATACAATATGCATTCAAACAATTTGGAGGTACGAACATTTCATCGTCGCTCATTTTGTACTCTCGATAGGCCTTTCGTTTCTTCGGTTTCTTCTTTTTTACCTTTTCCACTATGTCAAAGTCGGTTTTCTTCTTCTGGATAAGCCCGAAATATTCTTTCACTAATTTTATTTGTAAATATAATTCATCAAAAATGTCGTATGAAAAAAATATTCCTATAATGTTAGTGTATCTAACCAGATGGTCAAATGTTGTTATTCCTAATTTTTTCAAAGCTTCGTACAATTCCGTCACCGTAGCGTTATCCTTATTCGACGTTATCGCGTTGATTAGGGTTATGACATTGAATGAACTTCCATTGAGGAAAAAATCATTTCTCATTTTGTACGTAACTCCTGGTATTCCATTTGTGTATGTGCTCATTGGGGTTGAATCCCCTTGGTTGTTCTCTGAAGCGCGGCATATTTGATTGTTATAACGTTCTGCCAGGACCTTCCTATTTGCTTCATCCTCGTACACGTCGTGGTCATACAGTTCTTCTGTATCACCGTTGGGGTTATCCTCTAGTCCTTCTGTCTGTTCCGCAGAACCCGTTTCTTCCGTTTTATTAGTGTCATCCTTTTTTTCTTCTTCTACCTCTTCGTACGTTTCTTCCTCAACGTTGTCCTCCATAGGGAGCAACTCATTGGTATCACCGCCCTGTTTTTGCTCTTTTTTCGTGTTGGTCACCTCACTAGGGGTGGACGAGCCCTTATCAGAGTCTGTCCTATTGGGCTGCTTCCCCTTCTGTGAGTCTTGTGGACTGGAAACCAAATTACGGCACTTCAAACTATACTGGGTCTCATTTTTGTTTTTTCTATTATGATCTATTTTTTTAGGTATGTAAGCCTTTTTTTTATTATTGACACTGTAAAAACGGTATCCGTCATTTTTCCAATTTTTTAAAAATATTTCATAGATTGTTCTTTTTTTTCTTAAAATTCTTTCCTTTTCTTCATTCTTCTGCTCAACCTTGTAGTACATATTTTTCACCTCGAAAATGTAGTTGTCCCTTTCGTCGATAAATTCTCTGAAAAATTCATTTTCAATAGAATTCATTAACTTGTTTCTGTCTTGAAGGCTACTTATGACATGGTCGAAGGTACTCAAATTATCTTTGTAGTGAACAAATAATAGGGACAAAATATCAATTAGTTTTACATGAAAGGTTAATTTTTCATCTGTGCTGTATTGAGAACCTAGGAAGACTAAGGACTCGTTTAGCAAGTGCTTGTATTTTTTGGAACTTTTATAAATGCTGAAATTTACATAGTCCATATATCTGTATTTCACTTTATTAAATTCGTCTGAACCTTTATTTTCTAAATATTCTTCATATTCTCTTTCGTCCTCTTCTTCCTCCTTTTCACTTTTTCCTTTGGTGTCATATTCCTGCTTAATAATTCTTTTTAACCGTGCCCCCCTTATATTACTTCTTAACAAAAGGTTGCCATGGCTGATTAGTCCATTCCGCGAGGGATATTTTGAAAGGATAAGAGGGAGGATGATCAGAAGGTATTTTGTTATATTCATTACAATTCCATTTAATAGAAAAACAGGGACAACAAAAAAGGGGGATGCACAAATGCACACATGCACGGGGCGGACAACGGGAACATAAACGCGGAGTCAAATTTAGCGATAACTAAAATTAACGTGGTGTGGGTTGTTGATGTGACACTTTTGAAACTGAGCCGTTTCGATCTTCATGGGCATACTTATACACGCAATGTTACACAAGTCCACACGCGCTTATGCGTGTACTTATGCAAACGTCCAGAGCGCATGCAATTTGTGTACTTCCCCTATGTGCACTAAACATCAATACATATACATATGTAGAGCCTCAAAGTGGCAGACATGTCTCAAATTCGATGTTACAAACGGGGAAGTATATGTACGTGGGCACAAATAATGCTGTTGCAACTTTGTCGAACTCAAGGTAGTTTAAAAAAAAAAAAAGGGAAATATGAATTCGTAAAATATGAAGGCAAAAGTGACATAAACAGCGGAACACAGAGGTGCGTCCCTTTTTGCAAAGCTGTGAGTGAAAACTGGATCGAAGGACCACGTAAATCACGCGTATATATATGTATGAATTTTACATATGTATGATCAACTACGTCGTACGTGCTGGCACGGCTGGGAACCCCAGGGCACAGAAGCTTTGCAAAAGCGCAAAAAGGAAAATACTTAAATTACGCATTTGCAAATGGCACATACCGCAAATGTGACATAAAAAGTGGTACATATATAAACGCTCATATGTAAATATATACGGGTAAACAAATGATTTACGTAAAACATTTAAATTGTGCAATATTCCCCAAACGGTTGAAAATTCAAGCTCGTTTTTCCTCTTCAATGAATTATTTTATCTTTTATGTTAATTTTTCTCGAGCGTATTGTCTCGAGTTCACACAATTTTTTTTTTTTTGTTTTTTGCTTTTTCCTTATTTTTCTATATAACGTTCAATATTACAACAGCGTTATGGGCTTATGCATTATACATGTAAACAAGTTAAAACAGCCTGAATTTATTCATGGTTTATTTTATGTACACTAAAAAAAATGACAATGAAATAAGCATAAAGGCATTAAAAAACAAAAAAAAAAAAAAAAACGTGAACAAATAAGCAAATAGCGAATAAGTGTAAATTACTAAAATAGAGCAGGGGGTTCACCTACAATAATATATAATTTTGTGCGTTGAAACAGCAAGCCTGTTCCCTTCCGAATTTTTTTTTTTTTTTTCCACTTGAATAAATTTTGTCGTGCGTGGTATGTAAATATAATATACAACTATATACACACTATGTTTTTTTTCTGTGTTGCCATTAACTTTTCAATGAATATTTAATTTAGCAACTGTTTTGCCAGGCAGTTCGCAATTCACCAGTTCAAGGAGTGGAATTTTCAGGATTGACCAATTCGTACTTTGCGGTAACAGAAAGTTTGTTTCTCCCGCGTCAACCGTTGTTGAGTCGTTTGGGCGTTTGCCCCTTTAGCCCTGTCGCCGTTTCTCCGTTTCGCAAAAAAGAAAAAAAAAACAAGAGTTAAGATTAAGCAGAAATGTAAACCTTTATCTTTGGTTTTTTTTTTTTTATATCCTACTTTTATTTTCTTAGCTGAGTTTAGTTATTTTTTGTTATCGTATCTGTAACCAGTGCAACATTATAAAAGGGTTCTCGTGTAGAACACCCTTGCGCGTTGTCAACAAAGGGTTTGCATGGTTGCAAATTTTATTCCTCGTTTTCAAAGATAAGAAGAAAAATACCTTAAAATGAAAAATTAATTTTACAAAAAATTAGGGCGCTCGTGCTGTTTAAAAAAAGGTACAAAAAAATGTGTTGTAAAAAAAAAAAAAAAAGGAACCCCGCAATGAAGAAGGGGGCGCCCGTTCAGGGACAAAAAGGGACCCATGCAAATATACACATATGTATGTACCTTTATAATACATTTAAGGGCCTAAGGGCGGCGAATCAAATAGGTTCTATTCAAAATTTTGCTTCAAAAGGAAGTGAAGGTAAGCAAAAGAAAAAAAAAAAAAAAAACCTTCGAACGAACTGCAGTACACAATCCAGCTTTGGAGAGAAGTATGTATGGCGCAAAGGGTTATAAAATTAAAAAGGGTATTTTTCATTTTTTTTAAAACGATCGATCATTCTTAGGAATCTCACGCGTTCAACCATTGCGTGTATTAGTACAAGGTGTTGTTCCGCGCATTGACCACGTTCGCATTATCATTGGGTGAATTGTTCAGCAGGTTGAGGTTCCATTCTTGCCTTATTATTCTCTTCATCTCGGAAAATTCACTTAAATTTGTCATAATGACGTTAGCCAAGTCGTATTCGTCATTGATGTCCTGAAAAAGGGAGGAGCATGTCCACGGTGGGTTAAAAAGGTTGTTAGAATTGTGCGGCTCATAATACAAATGTGCTACTTAGTCGTGTGCATAAACATGTGTGAATATATAAACACGCGCAAATGCATGCAACATTGATGAGCCACCTTCGCGTTCAAGCAAATTGACAAAGTACCAAAGAAAAAAAAAAAAAAAAAACACTCACCTTAAATTGCGATATATTCAAATTCTGGTTGCATGTTTTGTTAATTTCTTCAATCAGCGCACAACACTCTTCCTCCTGCAATTGACACAAAGGCCAGGCGTGAAAAAAATGTATATCCCGCAACAGTGAAGTTAAATATAAATGCACACTTTGGCATTATGGTACACATAAATATATATATATTGGTACAAATATGCTCGTGTGTAAACGGTTAGTCTCTTCTTATATACTTACCTTTAAGGAACAGATGGGCTTATACAGTTTCAAGCTTATCTTTACATTTTTAATGTTCTCCAAGATGCTGTTAAGAACAACGTTTTTGTAATACCTCCTCGTGTATCCCTGCGAATTTGCAAAATGTCATAAAGTGTAAAAATGAAAAGAAATTTTTTCGTTTTTTTTCTGCAACGAAGGTGAGGAGCAGTCCTTTAAACTACGGGTGCAAGAATTTGAACCTACCTTGTAGTACAAATGCAACAATTTTACGATGACCAAATGATGGAATTTGATCGAAAGCAATAAAATGGAAAAGTAACCCAGGAGTGATATGACAATCTGTTAAGGGGAAGTAGAAATAAGCGAGGGGGCGATGTTTATTTGTGTCAATGTGCAGAGGTACTTGAGGAATGTTTGCACTGGTGTAAGTGTAAAATGTACACATGCACAAAAGAACGCACCTTTGTGAGGTTAAAATTTTTATGATTGAAAAGATTTAGAAACTTTTCCAAATAGAGATTAAGCATCATATGTTTCGACATTATCATTTTAATATTGCTCTTTGCGCTTTTGTACAAACTGAGAACATTTTTCTTATTCTTAATTTCTTCATAGTATTTACTTGGATTAAAATAATAATTTCGAATGTCTGTTTTTTTCATTTGTTGGCTATCTGATGAAGCTTCATCTTCTTCTTTCTCTTCCTCCTCCACCTCTTCCTCATCACATTTTACACTGGTCTTAGCACTTTGTCTTTTATTCTGTACAAATATCTGTGCAAATATATTTTTTTTCATGTACATATTTTTATGTTTGCTTATATGTATGGAATTATCATTTGTTGCAAAAATGTTCTTGTGATATATTATGCGGATGATTTTGCTAAAATCCGAGTGATTTTTTCTTTCCCTTTTCTTTGCTTTCAAGTGCACATGCTTTGCGCACAAAAAGAGGTTGTACACATTGTTCACATATATACATGTGATGGTGAAAATTAAAAAGTAGTTAATTACGAGAACTGCAATGTTGCAATAACACTTGAGAAAAAAGTTCGTTTTTTCCAAACCATTGTAGTAATTCTTTTTGCTTAAAAGGAATTTATTAAAATTACTTACAGCAATTGTTATGGCGTGTTTTTCTTGCTCTTTTTTTTTTTTTAAATTAATATAATTTGAATATTTCGTGAGTTCATGTTGGTCTTTATAGGAACCATTACTGCACATGTAGCTGCCTTTGTTAGCATATATCAGTTTACTCCTACTTCTGTAATTTTTCGATGCTGAGGATTTGTTCATCACATGTTTATTTTCTCCATCACTCATTCGGATCGTATCTGGTTTCTTTTTCTTTTTAACTTGTGTGCGCACATATCGTTGATCAAGGGGGTTCTCCTCTCTACCTACCCATGTGTATGCCCGAGTTGAACTACCTAGCATGTTTATTTTGCTTCGAATAGCTTTAAAATAATTTTCATTAGATTCAATCTCCTGCAGTTTTTTCACAGTCCTAGTTTTATTATTATCGGATGAAGTGCTGCCATGACCATTATTGTCTGCAGAATTGAGAGCCACATTTTGGTTACTTTTTTCCATCACATTTATGAAGAACATCTTTTTTTTGGCCTTAGGTGCATTTTTTTCAGGAGAAGCAGGGAGAACAGGAAGGCCATTTTCATCGTAACAGATTGTCCTGTCGTCATATTCGTTATATGAATTTGCATACTGCATATTAACCAAGTTTCTTATCTTATCTTTAAAGAAATTATTTTTATTTTTATTTTTATTTTTAAATTTCAGAAATTTCTTCTTCATGTGAGAAAAAATTTTTTTGTTTTTGCTAAAAATGTTCTTGTTTGTGTGTTTCTCTTCCTCTTCCATCTGTTCAATGTGTAAAAAATTGTCTGTCTCATTTTTCCCAGCAATGTGAGTAGGTCCACTAAATATGTTATCCCCCATGTGGTTGACTTTTTTTTGGGAGAAACACTCGTTTGATTTTCTGCTATTAGGATGATTATCCCCCGTTTCATTCTTCTGTTCAATCACCTCTTTTATATGCTTATACATACTGTTTGAGTATGCAAATTTCTTTTTGTCCCTGCTTCTTATAATTCTATGCATGTCGTATTCGCTAAAATATCCGCTCCTGTAATATTTAAGGTAGTCTCGATTTCTTTTAATTATTCTCTTCGGCACAGTAAATGAAACATTCGAGTTTACGGGTTTCTTTGATCTCTTGTCAACGTTCAGGGGGGGGATAACTTTTTCTTTGTTTTCTTTAAAATTGACAAACTCGTCGTTGTCCTTTTTGAAGGATAACTTATTATCCCCTTCATTCTTCACATGGTTTACCTCGTTGTCTTTGTTGGAGTAAGTACCTTCTTCATAGTTGATCAAATTAATCAATTTGTTTTCATCCCCTAGGTGCATGTCATCATTTAGTAACTCTTTCTCAAACCACATCATTGGTGTAACTTCGTAACTTTTATTTTTTTCCTTCTTATTCGTTTTCCTCTTTAGGTACGAAATGATTTTGTCTTTTAATTCCTTCCTCTTAGAATTGAAGGATAGGTTGTGAAGGATATGTTTTTCCCCTAATTTATTTTCCTCCTCGACCATATCAGCGGTGGCAAATTCTAAGTCATACTTTTTGTTATTCATAAAACTGGAGGTAAATTTCAGGTCAATCGAGTCTTCCTTCTTGTCTCTTTCGAACTTCCCCTCTTGGTACGTAGACGTGTTGGAGATAAAGCTTTTGTCCATAAGACAGTTTTTTACTAATGTGTTTCTATACCCTGTGTTGTAATTAATTGCGCTGTTATTTCCTATGTAGGGTGTGTTAACCGTGTAATTGTTCTCACTGTTTATAACGCCTACGTGAGAATTATTCGGTAGCTTTTCCCCCAAGGCGTACTTTTCCATGCTTTCGTCACAAGATGGTGGAAACAAATTTTGCAAATCGAATAACTCTACATTTTTATATGTGTCAAATTCATTTTCACTATATTGTGCATAGTGTTTTCCTTTTTTCTTTTTATTTTTCTTTTCCCCCCAAAGGTTGTCCTTACTGTAGGCAAAATTGTCCTCGACACTTTCATTTTTAATTTTGCTTTTTATCATGTTGAACCCTTTCTTAAAACGATTGTTGCATTTTTCAGATTTGTAAATATTTTTAATTTTGCTAAGGTTCTCTTCCTTTATATCTTTTAATTTTCCCAGAAAGTTTTTCATCGCTCTTTTTGGGCTTACATCAGTCCTATGTAGATCCTCTCCTTTCTCATGGCTTACATAGCCTTGGTCGTTATACATCGGGTAATTCTCCCGGAGGAATATGTTATTTGCCTTTAATTTTTTTTTACAATGGTCTTTTATTTCGTTCATGGAAAAATATTTAGCCTTCCTAAATTTTCTGCAAAGGGTGTCTTTCTCCTTTTCCAGATTAAAAGCGTCTTCTAGAGCGCTGTTATTTAATTCGTCGAAGGGTGTCTCTTCGAAAGGTGTTTCTTCGAAGGGGGTCTCATCGAAAGGCATAAATATTTGGTCCTGATTGGGATCCTTGCGATTCGGGGAGACCCGGCTCGTGAAGTTATCATCACTGTGGTGGGGGTTCAAAGAACTCTTTTGATCATCGTCGCAGTATTGTGGGGTCGACTGACACATGTGATTCTCCTGATAGATGTGAGACTTCTCTGGACTGATATCAGCTCCGAGGTAACCGCCTCCCTTTTGCGCGCTCATGTAGGCTTCCGCATCATAGACATTTTGGGCCGCCAAACGATAATCCCTATTATGCTGAGCTTCCAATGCATAGTTATCCCCAAGGTCTCCTTTACAATCATATCCACATTTTGGTGCAAATTTGTCACCGCTATTATTAAGCGCTTCCCCTGCGATGTCCCCTTTCATGTTCACATTCCCCTCTGCAATGTTACATAACTGTACGTTGGACAGCTCAACTGGGGAATTTAAAGTGGGGCACGGAGAGATTCCTTCTTCCCCCTTGTGCAGTGAGGTTACATTTAGCATATTGGCACGATCACCTTCAATATTGTCCTTTAATTCAAGATCGCCGGTCTGGTTGCTATTTGTCAAAGGTGCTTCGTCTTGCTGGTTTGGTTCGGACTGCAGCTCTTCCTTTATGCTAGACTTGTACTTATTCGTTATCGCTTCCGTTTTTTCCTTTTCTTCATTTCCCTCGCACTTCTTCTCTTCGCAGAAGAGCGCATCGACGTTTTTCTCAAACAAGCTCCCCTGTTTAATGTTGCCAAGAGCGTATGAGGAGAGATTTTTGCCTAGGTCAAGCTTAATGTTCTTTTTATTGAGCTTCCTCTTCTGTTTCCAATTCTTGAATATACGTTTTGATTTGAACAGCAAGTTTGACGTGTAGGTCATTTCTTCACTTTTTTTCTTCTTCGCTTCTACGTTGATCAATGGTTCATTGTGCTCTGCGCAGTCACTCTTTTTTCCCCTATGTTTTGCCACTCTTTTTCCTCTTTTTTTTTTTTTATTTAGGAAATAAAAATATAGAGGAAAATCGTTGTTCAGTCCTCCATGCACAGTTATTATTAAAAGACAATACACATAAATAAAAATTAATATCACATTGATGTATATAATTTCGATTTTGTTGTAAAAGTATCCGGGGAAATATTCAATAATGCTGTAGAAGTTTTTTTTCCTGTTGTTATTGTTGTGTGTTCGATCGGAACTGTTTGTGGTGCACCCTTGTGTGTTCCTTCTACCTTTAGCTTTCACGCTTCTATCGCTATAGTAGTCTTTGGATAGGATGCTCGCATGGGGATGGTTGATAGCACGACGACCCCCTACACTATTGCAGGACTTGAAAAAGTGGACATACCTAGTACTTTCATATAAACTTACATCCACGGAATATTTCGCATTATTTATTTCAAAGCAGAACTCCCTGTTTCCACAGTTCTTTCGGTCTTCCAACTCCTCTACGTTTTTTTCGTCCTTTTGCACCTTGTCAGTAGGTATTCGGCTGGTAGAATCGTAATAATTATTTTTCATGTGATTTACAATTTTAATCTCCAAATCGAGTAGCATAATTTCGTTAATGCCTAGATCTTCAGAATAAGTTTCCACATCATCATCAAAGGTATAATTATATTTTGAAAGGAATGAACCATTTCGTTCAAAATAGTTTTTTCCTTCAGTAAATGACAGGGAACTGCGTACAATTGAAGTCCCATCATGTACAATTTTGTTTCCTTTTTCTGTTTGTTCCTCGAGTAAAAGCTTCATATCGGAGAACCTATTTTTTAACTTGCAAGAATTCGATTTATCATTTTTACGCTTTACGTTCGTCGTTTTGTCTGAGTTACTAACTTTTTGATATCCCCCCGTGACGTAGTAGTCCATTAGCCACTGCTTATTGTTGTTAATCATATGACAAAGTTTGCTGTTCTTTATCAATTTGGTATACATGCATTTGCCCTCGTTGGTCTCATCGTACGCTCCATCGTTGTTTCCTCCATTGGTACAGCTAATAACTTGTGACTCCCTAATATCACTGTCTCCTTTCAATGGGGCTTTATCATCCCCATCGCCGCCTTCGTCGCCTTCCCCGTTTTTTCGATTTTGCGCATCTTCTCCTAAAAAGTGTAGGTCTCTCTCGCGCTGGTTATTGTGACCATGATCGCTTGTGCCATCCATGACGTTGATAATTTCCCCGCAATTGGCACCTCCCTGCTCGTGAAAGATGTCACTGGTGGATTTGAGAATAATCCCTTGTCCTTCGTGCACAGGTATAGCACCGTTAACCATTTGGGCAGGACCCACGACGGCATTGTTGTCCCCCATACAGCTTACCGTGTCCCCCTCCCCTCTGTTGATGCCACAGGTTGGACTCAAAACGGAATCTGCCTTCGTCTGCCTATCCTTGCCCCTCATGCCTTTCTTCACAGATACTCTATCATGCCCATCTTGGAAGCCCTTCCTCCTGCTCCATTTCACCTTGGAGAACCTACCCAAGGAGGGCTTACTTTTGCTGTGCTCAGTACTCGCGTTGTCCAAGAAGTGGTCATTACAATACTTACCTAGGTAAGCAGGGGCATAGGCAAAAAAGTAGACGCACCTGGACTTGTAATGTTTATACAAGTATTGAAAGAAGGAGGGAAAACTGTGCAACATGAAAATGTGCAGAAATGCGTGGAGGTGGTACAAATTGGACTTCTTCGATATTGTACACAAAATCTTATGAGGAAAAAGGAGGTACAGAATAGGAAAATCGTACAAGAGGTTTTTACAAAATTCGTAATTCTTCTCATTATTTATGTATATCAGAAATGCCACGGTTAGAAGGAGAACAATGTGTATGTAGTTCTTATAATAGGAACAGAGAAAAAGGTAAAAAATTGAAATGATCGAAATGATGAAACTTCTAAATTCGAATATGCCGTTTACTTTATCGAAGATATAGCTGAATCTATTTTTTATCTGCATGGTGCGTTTTATATTATTTATAAATAAATTAACCAATTGGTAATTATTGTTAACGTTGTTATACGTCATGGATACATCTTCATCATTGCAAAGCACATTGGTGGTGTTTTGAGACGGTAGCAAGTACTCAAATCGGTTTTTACTTTTATATATAAATATATGGACATACAAATTATCATCATTTGAGTCGGATTCATATTTGCTATTTTTCTGTGCATTATGTAACTTTCTGACAAAAAAATAATTTTTATCGAAGAAAATATTTTTTTGGTTCAGGAGAGAAAGACCATTTGACACTTGGTCATTCGTTTTATTGCAAAAGGAGCTGAATAACTTTGCTGTTCTGTTAGACGACGTGGAGCTATACATGGATGTATTTCTGCACTTGTTATTTTTCGTTAAAAAGAAATCCGTCTGGATTTGCATACTATTCAGTTCTGCCTTTTTGTACAAATCAAAATCGATGTGCTTCTCAATTTCATAATTGCGTAGAGCAAAATGTCCTAGATACAAATCCAGGTCTGTATAAAAGTGAAATATTACTTTATTCTGTCTGTCCGTGAAAAGCGGTATGAACATGTCCCTGTTGTACTCATACTTGTAATGGTACAAAAAATTATCTACGTCAATTATGGCATATATGTAATTATACTTAATTTGTTCTAAGTTCCTAATTTTTAAAATATTTACATATATGTAATTATAAGCACTGGCATGAATGGACTTGTAGAATTTCTTCAGCACATTCAAATATTTGGGGGAAGAATAATACAACCCGTAATTCTTTAAAAAGATATTTTTGGTGTACTTGAAGAAGAGTATTTTCATGTACTTTTTTATGGAACCATAGATAGAAATAATTTTCATTAAATTTATCAACTCGATAATTACATTCACATTGTAGTTTGCCAAACGAATGTGCTCATTGTTGAAGTGGTATCCATCATTTGATATTTTGTAATTATTTTCTTTTTTCTTTTTCTTTTTGTTTAAAGAAAAAAAATTACTATTATCTGAGGTGGAACTGCCATCCGTATTGCTCAATCGTTTCGCATATACACTAAAATTGTAAATGTGGTTTGAACTTTTGTAAATATGTCCATATGTAGCATGGGATATATCATACACATCTCGGTGCATGTCCTTGTAGATGTTATTAATATTCTGTTTAAATTTATTCATAATTAAAAAATTCTTCTTTAACACTAGAATTTTTTTTCTATACATATGTGTAGCATTCGTTCTCTTGTACATGTAACATGAAATGGTGTAATCACATTTGTTTATCAGCGTGTTGAAGTAGATGTTGTACACATTTTCTTTCTGATCATTTTGGCCTCCACTTTGACTTCCATTTTGACCCCCATATTTTTTTTTCTTCATGTGGTCTATCTGTTTTGTGTAACGGTCCTTTGTTTGGTCACCATTGAGTGGTTCCTGCGAAGAATAAAGCATTACGTGCTTATATTTCTTCCTCAACTCGGTTAATTTTTCCACGTTTTCTTTATCACACAAATCTGTATGATGTTTCCTGACGACACGATAGGTGGATCCCTCCTGCTGGGACTCCTCCCCCCTTGGATACTTCTCACCTGCCGTCCTTTCATTCACATTTGGGTCTATCACATGTTCTGTCTTTTCTTCATCATTTTTGCCTCCATAGATGTGTTTCCTCTTTATGCCAGAGATTTTATTAATAAGGCTCAAGTTGGACTCGTTCAGCTTGTCCTTTTCCTCAAGGTTACTATTGAACTCATTCAAATAGAAGTCGTACAAATTGTTGTTATACTTATGGTTGTTAATTTCCTTGTACAGATAAAATTCTGCCAAGTCGTCATTTGATTTGCACCCACTATCCTCATTGTTGGATGAGAACTCGTCATAGATGTTATCATACGTGTTACTTAAAATGTTTGAATTGCTATCTGTGTGTTTTTTATCTTCCGAATCGTTGTAATGCATAATCCTTTTCACACTCCCCTGTTTGCGGTTATTATTGAGGTGTATCTTTTTGTTTAATTCTTTCCCCTCAGTGGATGCTCTACTTTTTTTGATCTTCATAATTTCCATTTTGTACACTGCAACAGGGAATGTTACTTTTGGATTTTTTTCCCTTTCGACTTTGTGAACCTACTGCGGTTGGTACCGTCTTTGTTGAATTCGCACATAGGAAGACAACGTGGAGGTAGAGAACAAAAAAAAGAGAGACTACGTATCACACAACGATACTGCCCTCCATAACAATGTATATTACCCTTATTGGCTTATACTCTTACATGTTGCACGGAGTGCGTGTTCTCTTATGGGGAAGAAAAATGCTACCAGCATTTGCATCCGTTCGCACCAAGCAAATCAGTACAGAGACTCAAGCGAGCGTATGCACATTTACATTTACCAAAAAAAAAAAGGGTGAAAAATGAATAAGGGAAAAGGTTTTCTACAATCGAACTGCGGTGGCAGTAGCATGCTCGCGAAGGAACGTATATATTATGCCTACGGATTTATGTAAGCACATGTGAGTATGCATTGAATACACGTAGCCTCCCAACCACTCACACTTATGCAAATCAATCATGCATACGTACGTGGAGCTGCGGATGTAACACCCTCATTCCTGCATCTTACACTATGCATTTTTGCATCACAGAGAATACACAAAAAAAAAATAATAATAATAAATAAATTTTAAGTACAAAAAATTAAGCACAGTATGTAATAAACTGTTGAAAACATTCGGAATAGTTTACCGCATGGCGCGTTACCAACATTGGAATATATAACATTAATGTTTACATCACTTCCTGTTTTAAAAGTTCCATTTTTGTGTCTACGCAAAAAGGGGAAGAGTACTACAAAAAAATGGAGAAAAATGGGAAAAAACAGGAAAAATCATCCTTAAGGTGTTAACAATGAAGGCGTAAAAAAAATGTTGAACTGACATATCTTATGACATTCCTGTTTTGCTGTTTTATTATTTTTGCGTTGCGGTGTAAAAAATCGCCTAAATGTTTCTGAAGGCAAAATTTTTCATTGCTCATACCGGTAAAAAAAAATTATGCGCTGAATTGCGGATAGTGCGCAACGCAGGAATATGCATTTGCAAATGAGGTTGGGAATAAACAACGGATGGAAAAAGCGCTATAAAGCAAAACCAAAGCAAACTCGTGCCAATTTGTAAATTAAATGTTAATCCATTAGGCAGAAACAAAATAAATAAATAAAACGTGAAGTTGAGGCCAACACTGCCTCGTATTTAGGTGAAAACTTGTGCAAGTATAAAAAAAAAATTAATACATGTTGTTTATGCTGCCCGTCCTTACAAAATATAATATAATCGAACGAGATGAAAAAACGTACATCATACTAGTTGCAAGAATGAAAAGAAGTCTGAAGATTAGTTCGATTTCCTATCCATGCTTAAGTCCGAATATTTGCCCAAGCGAACTTTCCAAATGAAGTACTTTTTTTCAACAAAAAATAAAGAAGAAGAAACTGCGATTCAGTTCATCCTCATTTTGGGGGCAAACAAATCGATTTTACTGAGAAGAAACAAATTGTAGAAAATAAAGAGCATACCAGTTGGTGAAGCTTTATATACGCCGGCCGTCTTGGCTTTTTTACATGGACCTAGGCATCCACAAAATCTGTCACACTTTTGAACTTATCCTATTACATTTGTAACTTTACCACAACATACGTCTAATTACAATAACGGGAAAAACACGGATAATATCAAAAAAAAAAAAAAAAAAAGTGAGAATTAAGCATGTGAATAAACAGGGAAACCTTTTTCAAATGCATACTAGCTCCACATTTATGTGCATCATTGACGTGAGCCAGCGTACTTAGACAGTTTCTTTAATGCAATTTTTTTTTTCTTCTTTTTGCCCTTTTCAGTGGCCCTGTCGACGAGAAAGAAAAAACATCCTCGCAATACGATTAAAAGTAAAATTCTGAAAACCAGGAAAAGGACAAGAGATTACGATGAAGGTATAGCAAAAGAAAACGGTTTGCATGTTAACAGTTGCGCTTCGCCAAGAGTGGCAATATAAAAATGGCTGTTCGCTCAGATCAATGTGATGTGCTTGATCTCCATGACGTACTACCTTGCTTATGCACATTAATATATACACCATATGAGCATAAACGCACACTTATTGATGCCCCCCTCTATCACCTTGCGCAAATGCTTTTTATGGTGCATATCCTTTTCACGTTCCCTGCAGTATATAAGGATTATATGAACCAACCGGCTCTTCCTTACGATGAAGACAAAAAGGGAGGCGGTAATGAAATGAAAAAAAGGAAGGGCAATTCGCCCATGATTTTTATATTATTTTTATTTATTTTTTTCCCAATTTGTAAAACATTAAAATGACTCAAAATTGTTGACACCATTTTTTAGGACAACACAAGTGCTATGCTTGCGACATTTATTTTATAAATGAGGACGCGAAGAAACAACACGAAAAAACGAAGAAACACAAGAGGAGAGTGAAAATGCTTAACACGGAGACGCCCTACACTTATGTAAAGCTCGTCAAACTGCACATATACACGAAACATTTATATATATGCATCATACATATGGTGTGTGCGCTTGAGGGCATAAATTATAATCGCCCTTCCACACACATTTGGTAAAATATGTTGTAACGGCTGCATTTTTCTACAACTTTTTCTTCCCTGCAGAAGGACGCCCTGAAGGCTGCTGAGATTACCCTGTAAAACTGGGCCTGTCGTGTATGGGAGCCTGGCACACATAGGCATGTGCAACATACTCATGTTAGATACCCCTTTTCTAAACACTTTGTCAAGTGCCCGTCAATGACACAGCCCGGGTGAGCTTCAAAAAGAGGTGCAAATTATGCACCATTGGGCTTAACTCAAACAAGTTGCTGTAATCATTTGCAGATAACGTTTCGACATCGTCTATTTGTAAAGAGTTTTTTTGTATGTTATCCTCATCCTTTATTACCACTTCATTCATTTTTTCAATACTGTTACTTGAAAAAATGTTGTTTAAAAAAATTTGAAAATTCATCACATCATTTTTTGCATCGTCATTATTCTCTTGTTTTGTCGTATCTCCCAACTTTGTCTTTTCCTTCTTATTATTTAAGTTGATAAATTCGCACAGCTCGAATAGGCAATACAGGATGGATTTATGTTTCGTCAAATTTTTGATGAACTTTTTTTCGCATTCCTCCGTTTCGATTTTGACAATTCTAGGGAACAAAAACAAAAGGGGTGGGGAAGCACGACGCGGGATGAATTAACTGCGCTTTGATGGAGCCTAAATATTGACATGGCATGGCACCATTTGTGCGCGTTTAATGTGGCGTGTTTTACAATGTTGTCGTTTTACTACGTATGGCGGATGCTTTTTTTTTTCATCCCAGAACACCCATCGTTTCTCTCTTCCACCGAAGAGTATGTATACCTACCTGCAAAAATTTTCCTCATACTCGACATGTAGCGAATCGGTTAGTGGCCCCTTCACTTTCTGTCCGTCTACCCTCACGTTAACCATCCTTTTCGTCTTTGCCGCGTTGGCCAGATTTACGTCCACGGAATGAAAGGCCATAAATCGGAAGCACAATAATACATCGTTTATTAAAAGTTCCTCCGTTTGGTCCTGCGCCAGATGATGATACATCTCCTTTTCAAGCATCTTCCCTACTTCGACATTTGTAACTAAGAGGTTAATTCCCTTTTTTTTCATTAAAAATAATAAGGTATATACATCTAGGGTGCAGTTGTATAGGTCCTTCAGAACGTCTATTCCGTTGTCTTGCAGTTCCATGCCATAATCATCAATGTGGAAAATAAAGTTCTTACCATTTCGGGTCCTTAGCATAGCAACAACTTTATTTTCACAATATTTAATTTCCCACTGCAGATATGGAAAATTAGTTACGCTATTGAGATTGATATAATAGTTGCTGATTCGGTTGCTATAAATTCTTACGTATGTTTTATCATTTAGTGCAAATTTCTCACTTTGTACCTTAACTACACTTATTTCATCATATGGTTTTTTTTCTGAGCATTCATGTAAGATATTTTCTTTTCCCCCTGTACTCATATCGCAGGTCTTAATATGTTGCCCATTTTGTACATTTATGCGAATGTTTCTTTTTGTAGAAGTTACCTCCTCGCTTTTATTTTTTTCTTCGCTCCATTTTGGGGTAACATGTTCCGGGGAGAGATTCTCCTTATTGTGTATATGTTGTGAACCTAGATTGTCAGTGCTTTCCTCTTCCGTCGCGTTCTGCCTTTTTTCCACTTCTGCCCCCTCTCCGTTTGGCATTTCAGGATGCGCACCATGCAGGTCTGATCCTTCCTCCAATTGATGTAAATCATCCGCAGGGAAAAAATTTGTACAGTTCACCTCCTTATTAGTGTCGATGTAGAATATATCCAACTCCTCATCAGTGTAAATATGCGTGGGCAGTTCAATTTCGTATATGTATGAAAACGCATTTTGTTTTTCTTCCAGGGGAAAGGAATTTGCTACATCGGAAAGAGCAACATAGGGAGAAGAGTTGCTGCAATCGTCACAGCAATGGTTACGGGGAGATGCTATTTTCCCCCTTCCTAATGATGCAGACACACATGGATTAGATAAAATGTGAATTTTAAATAAATCGAGAAAAATAAAATCATCCATATATTCGTACGACTTGTCTTTGACTACCAAGGTGACGAAGTATCGCTTGTCTACATGATTAGGAGAAATTATGTTCATTGTCATGTTGGAAAACTCTATTTTGTTTTCATTTATTAGTCCATTTATTATCTTCGTTTCAGAACAGAAAAAGGCATTTTTCCTGTTTACATTTTCTGCCCTATTTAGCAAAATAAATTTGTTCACTATTATCTTATTTGTGTGCTTGATGTACTTTTCAAAGAGGTATGTTTTTAACTTGAATAAAATTTTAAAATTCTCAGAGCAGTACTGCCGGACATTTGGACTTACCAAAAAATAGTCGGTTAGCAAAATAAAAAAAAATAAATAAGTCGACTGCATCATTTCACAACAATTCTCAAAATGATGTAACGCATGT